AAATTAGATCTAACTCCCTAGGGGCCTGCAGGCAGAACAACCAATCGGCGCCACGATACGCGGCGCTTAAAGTTTAAATTAGATCTAACTCCCTAGGGGCCTGCAGGCAGAACAACCAATCGGCGCCACGATACGTGGCGCTTAAAGATTAAATTAGATCTAACTCCCTAGGGGCCTGCAGGCAGAACAACCAATCGGCGCCACGATACGTGGCGCTTAAAGATTAAATTAGATCTAACTCCCTAAAGGCCTGCAGGCAGAACAACCAATCGGCGCCGCGATACGCGGCGCTTAAAGTTTAAATTAGATCTAACTCCCTAGGGGCCTGCAGGCAGAACAACCAATCGGCGCCGCGATACGTGGCGCTTAAAGTTTAAATTAGATCTAACTTTCTAGGGGCTTGCAGGCAGTACAACCAATCGGCGCCACGATACGTAGCGCTTAAAATTTAATTCGGCGCCGCGATAACGCGGCGCTGCTTAAAATTCAAATTAAGCCTAACCCTCATCGCGAGCCTGCCGAATAACCAATCGGCGGCGCCGCGATAACGTGGCGTTGCTTAAAATTCAAATTAAGCCTAACTCTCATCGCGAGCCTGCCGAACAACCAATCGGCGGCGCCGCGATAACGTGGCGCTGCTTAACATTCAAGTTAAGCCTAACCCTCATCGCGAGCCTGCCGAACAACCAATCGGCGGCGCCGCGATAACGTGGCGCTGCTTAAAATTCAAATTAAGCTTAACCCTCATCGCGAGCCTGCCGAACAACCAATCGGCGGCGCCGCGATAACGGGGCGCTGCTTAAAATTCAAATTAAGCCTAACCCTCATCGCGAGCCTGCCGAACAACCAATCGGCGGCACCGCGATAACGTAGCGCTGCTTAAAATTCAAATTAAGTTTGACCCTCATCGCGAGCTTGCCGAACAACCAATCGGCGGCGCCGCGATAACGCGGCGCTGCTTAAAATTCAAATTAAGCCTAACCCCCATCGCGAGCCTGCCGAACATATTTTTATGCGACTCATCTTATTTTGAAAATTCCCGTACAATCGCCCCTTTAAAACTACAAACGAAACTAGCGGCCATACAAAGACGTGCAAACGATTCCAAAACAGCACCCGTTTGCGGATTTAAAATATCTCTAAGAACGGCGGAGATAAATCTTGCCGTAAAATCTGATTTTTATTGCATATTTCCATGCGACTCATCTTATTTTGAAATTCCCGTACAATCGCCCCTTTACACCTACAAACGAAACTAGCGGCCATACAAAGACGTGCAAACGATTCCGAAACAGCACCCGTTTGCGGATTTAAAATATCTCTAAGAACGGCGAAGGTAACTCTTACCGTAAAATCTGTATATTTATATAAATATCTCGTTATTTTATTGCAAAGTGTTATTAAAAATGTGCAAATTAATATGAAACTTATCAACTTTAAAATATTTCTATATAAAAATGTATTCTGTCCCGCGACAAAGTATTCACTGGATCTCACGTCATTCGTTACCCCGTTATAAAAAATTAATTATCACTCACCGACCAGATGCGCAACGGGCGGAGTTAGTCAGGCACGTAGCTCCGATGATTCTGTAACACAAAAACGAAAGATTCAAATTAAAGAGCCGCTCAAAATGACCAATGTTTCAAAAAATAATTTTTACACGCGTCTACGTCGTCTTTTAATTAGATTTACTAATGTATTAATTATTTATTTTCTGGGAAAAATCTTTACGAGAATAAACTTTTATAATATTTTAGATGGTTTTACTTTCTCAAATTATTTCTTATCCGAGATAAATCGGCCCGAATAAATGGAAAAGATCTATTAATTTTAAGGTAAGAAATAAAATACTTACCCCAAGGTTGCTCCTCCGGGGCCCGCGGCCTCCGCCAGGCCTCCTTCTCCTCCTCTCAGAACGGGGTTATCAGGCCTCATCCTCCTTCTGTTGCACAGAACACTCACGGAACCGCTGTCCAATATTTCGCGATCGAGTACGAAGTAACTGTAATACGACGATCGCGACACTTTCGTACAGATACTCCTGGAGAGGAAACGATCTGCGTTTTATGGGGCGCGCTTCTCGTATTTAAAACCGACGATATTCACCGAGCTGCTTTTCCCGCTGAGCGCGGCTAACTTCTTACCGACACGCGGACGCCTCGCGGATACAACGCGAGTCGTGTCAATGGCCAATGTGAAACGAGCGAACCGTTCGAAAATATACGCTCGAGACACACTTGCGATACAGCTCGAAATACAGCGTAAAATTCCGCGAGATGCGAATGCACAGTTAAAAGCTCGACACATATATCACACATATATCATAACTACGCGTCGTTATTCTAAATCACCGCGAGATTCGCGTACTCCGTACTCACATTAAATCCCACGATATGATGTCCGACGTTTCTCGACCAAACGTTAGTCCAGCACTCCAATCGCCTTCTCGCTCCTGTGTGCGATAACAGTCCATTATTCATTGAAACACAAGAAACTTATTATATTCGGCGTACATTAATCTTGACGTATTCACTTCACTCCGATTCCTGGTAGCCGCGCGAGGCGTGTGTCATGCGCTCGATCGTGACTCTGCGCGAATGACGGAACTCAGTCAGTACTCAGTCGGTCGCGCACACGGGATAATCCGACGATTAAGAGAGAATACTGTATCTTTCTAGTAGCTGCGATATCATCGTGATACTTGACACAGCACATCTCGCGATGTATTTAATAGAGCGCTACGCACGGAGCCGCTCGCTCGGCTGCATGCCGGCTCGAGCATCGGAATGTGAATAATAGTGTGACGTGTAACGTCGCGAGCCGTGGGGAGGGAGCCGCGCGGCGCGGCGCGGCGCGGCGTACGAAAAACAAAGTCGAGCGCCCGCGTGCAAACGCGCCAACGGTCTCGCCGCCGCGCCGACAATATTTAATTATTTACCTGACGATCACAGAAAAATTTGAGCAGTAAGGAAATCAACGGTACTACGTTTCGGTAATAAAGCAGGTGAAAGCAGTTTTTTTAAATTCGGTTGCGTAGACTTACCTTTATATGCGATCAAAATTATGGATCTTTGATCGCGTATAAAGCTGGATGTACGCAACCAAATCTTAAAAAATTATATATGAAATAAGGGTAGAAAAGACTGAGAAGAATAATAAAATTAGAAATAGATTGATATCTTCAAATTTGCGGAAGTTAGAGTAAACACGGACATCAAATCTGCACATACACATATATACGTACGGACCATGCAATTTTAATGCAATATTTCGACATTTTAGAACACTCTGAACATATTGGCATCAAAAACTCAAAAAACAATCTTTTCTTTGGTTTCTTCTACCCCTCGTTCATATATAATTCATTTAAATTGGGTTGACTAGACTCAACTTTATACGCAATCAAAGGTTCATATACGAAATTCACAAAAACAAAGCTTCCTCTATATAACGAAGCAATACGGTCAAATACGGTGAAATAAAATCAAATACGGTTAAATACGGCGAAATAAAATCAAATACGGTAAAAAACGTTGAAATAAAATCAAACACGGTAAAATATGGTGAAATAAAATAAATAAATGGTCAAATATGGCGAAATAAAATCAAATACGGTATTTTATTTCACCATATTTTACCGTGTTTGATTTTATTTTAACGTTTTTTACCGTATTTGATTTTATTTTGCCATATTTTACCGTATTTTATTTCATTTCTCCGTATTTAACCGTCGAGTTCTATAAGGAAAAAATCTAAAAGTTGAAAAAAATCATACTATCGTAGCATAGCCGGCGCGTGTTAAGCAGTACGTCACAGCTCGAGAGAAAAGAGGACAGCAGATCGTATGTCTGCCCTTCTCTCCCCGCTCGAAGCTTGCCGAGTGCCGAGTCAGCCGACTGGCATATTCCCTCCATCTGAATAGTTCGGACACGAATCATAGCACGGACACGAACTATGTGTGTACCATTACCGAGCGTAACGACGTAGTTGACGTCCACTTTCTCAGACGGCGCGTCAGTATATACGTCCGCTGGAACGGAATGATCCCGGTGGCCGTCTCTGGTAGTACCATATTCAAAAATGGATGCACTGGCGGTAGTGTACATAGAAGTTTTCGACAGTCTCACGAAAAAGGCCGGAATGGCCTTTCTCACAGGCTTCTCTCTGCTAGTACTAATAAATATAACTCTTACTAAATATAACTAATAAATATAACTCCGCCAAGTTATTTCGCCCGTATCGTTTCGAAATAATTTTTTTGAGTTTATCGACAATATGGTAACTGTGTTAACGATGATCGGTATTGGAAGTGAGTATTGTATCGACCAGATACTCGATGTCGAGATTATTTTAATTCTTTTAGATGGCGTTATAAGTATTATTGTAGGGGCGGTCTTCTATGGCTGCGTTCTTTTTGACGCTTTCAGCGCTGAAAGCATCGCTCCATTTCTGTTTGATGTTTGATGTGTAACGAAAACAAAATGGTGCTTAAAACGTTGAAAGCATCAAAAGTAACGTAGCCTATATACATATAAAACTTAGAAGCGGCCGCAGGGGGAAGTAATCCGCGCAGTTCCTTGGGCTTAACAAACCTGCGGCATTATCGAGTTCAATACACCGCGGACATTAACACACAGTTACACGGACATTCATACATATACACAGTGTCATATAGCCCAAAGGTGGTGCTGAAGGCACTATAAAATCCCTCATCCGAGGGATAACCTTAAAAAAAAGAACTTAGAAGCCTGTAAGTAGGAACTTTTTCTTATTAGAAAAATTATATTTGTGACAAAGAATTAAGAATTTGAAAGAAGATTGAAATTACACAAGTTAAGACTGCACTGATGGGATGGGTGTGATACCATGAAATTTTTTAAATAAAAATTTAGTATTGCAATACTATTGCATGCTTTCCATTTATTGACACAAGTCGACACAAATGTCATTCTATCTTTCTTTGCATTCAATGAGTTACAAAGACAGAACAACACTTGTGTCAACTTGTGTCAATATAAATGGAAAGCACTTTTTACGTAGCTCTTGTGTAATATAGACTTTATGGAATACGTGTTTTTATCAAATCACTATTGTATATTATTTTTTACTGATCAAGAAAATTGAGGCTGGATGCTAAATTTTACTTTTCTGTATATTTATATACGTCTTGCGTAGAGATACACCGCGGCGGTCTCGCGCTGCGCGTGTACTTGGCGCGAGATACTATATCGATCGTCTTTTGATTTTAATAAGAAATTTTATGGTTTGACTTATCGAGGAAATAGTATTTACCCTATCTTTTACACTTAACGGAAAGAAAATAATTACAGATTTACAGTTGATTAAATTGCAAAAGAGGTTTGAAAAATCAAATAATCAAAAGTTGAGTAGATTCGAGTTTCGTGTCGAATAACTCTTTAACTCTTTGTTTGAAAATATTTTTATTTTTCCAAGAAATTTTGTATTAGTCTCGATTCTGCGAGAGATAAACGGAAGATAATGTGTAATTCAATTGTTCATTTTTTGTTGTCTTCTAATTTTCTTTCCCCGTATTTTTTTTCTTTATTGTATCTTTGTTGCTCTCTAATCGCGTTTCTTCGCGTTCTTCCGATTTTGTTTGTTCGCGTACTTCTGATTTCGTTTCCTCGTGTTTTTCTGACTTTGTTTCTTCGCATTCCTCTGACTTCGCTTCTTCGATTTGTTCCGATTTTGTTTCTTCGCATTCTGCTGAGTTCGCTTCTTCGACTTTTTCTGACTTTGTTTCTTCACGATTTTCTAATTTTGTTTCCTCCTGCTTCTGTGATTTCGTTTCTTCACGATCCTCGGCTCTTGTTTTCTCCTGATTCTCCGATTTCGTCTCTTCGCGTTCTTCTAACTTTATTTCTTCGCGTTTTTTAAATTTTATATCGCTTTGCTTCGCAAAAGTCATTTCTTTGGTTTTAAGATTCTCGTTAGACTTCTTTTTTAAGTCTTCTCTCTTTTTTTCTTTCAATCGTTCCGCTCTTGTTGCATATTTGACGGTCACGCATGTCGGTACTTTTTTCTTAATCAGCTATAAATATAGTCACATTTAATAATCGTGCCATCGATAATTTTCTAATACGTGTTTACCTTACGGGGTAATATTCTTTTGCTTGCAACTTTTTTAGCAGTTACAGTCTTATCCCAGGCTAACTTCTCCTGCCACCAAATTCGCTGATACTCGTTCGAAAGTAGTTGTTCTATGCGAGGTTCTCTCTCTCTGTGTATGCACGCAAATTGCACATAAAAACATTATTTATAATAATATTGAATTTAATATACATATAATAATAATAATAAAAAATATATAAAAATTAATAAACAATATATAAATGTGATGTAATAAATTACATTTTTCTAAGATTTAATAACGAATAATATAACAGAAAACTCAACAAATTTAATTTATATTTGTTTTTTTTTCATGTTACAAGGCATAAAAAATTTTTAAATTTTTAACCAGCACAATAGACATCGTCAAAATTAATAAATTTAATCGGTTGTCATTCGCTTTTATACTTTTCTGTTTATTTGTAATTTGTTTTTGAATGTTTTGAAAATCTTTTAAATTGAAGAATTATTATTTATACATATAATTTTTTTATAAAAATGTAAGTTATTGACTTTTTTGCATGGAGCAACGTGAAAGTAATTTTATTGCACTTTTCTTCAAGCTGAGATTTATTTATAATTTTGTATTATTAAACAATTTAGTGCCTATTGTAACATCTTGGAATCTGACACAAATTACAGATTGTTTAAAAGTGGATTTTTAGTTATACATGATTATATTGTTTTATCGTCTACATTAAATTAAATATGAATTTGGCTGGCTATTTGCAATTGAACATTTTATTATTACTAATCTTGTTGTACACGTGTACCGTTTCATTATTTAATCCAAAACTGCATTTAATGTAATATAGATATTACATTATATGTAATTTTGAATTAAGAGTCTATTTCAATAATCAAAGTGTTTTATTGTTATAATATTTCAAAATTAAAAATAAATATGTAAAAATTATCAACTATTATAATTATCAATTTCACATAAATAATATTATTGTCTATGTGATTTATATTATAAATAAAATGCAATTTCGAGTCGCGAGCCCATTCACCGGCTGCTCCGGTCCCCGTTAGATACGATAAATATTTATACTTTTCGTAGGATGGCACGAACCCTCTTGTCGTCGTGTAACTCGAGGACACGATGTTGTCCGGTATCTTGCGTGGCACCGCGGGCGTCCATGCCTTTAAACGTACATCAGTTGCATTCATACGGATGATCCCGGGGGCACCTTTGAACTTATCTATCCCGCGACGGTTATTAACGATTCGCCGCAATTTCTTCTCGGATTTTGCGAGTTCTCGCGAAGGTTATCGCGGAGGACGAGCTTGACAAATGCGTGGCGGATGCCGAGACCGCTGGCCGAGTAACGAAGGCGGCTCTGGAACGATGCGCTTTCTCGATGCAATACTCGTTGAGGTCACCGAGCGATATTTATCGACGCACATGTCGGATTTCGCAAATAAAGCGAAACATATATATATATAACTATTAAAGACCCGACAAATAGAATATATTTGTATCTTTCAACCTGCGTCTGCTTACATTTTTGCAATAAAAATAAAACAAGAGTAATAATAATATATTATATTACAAGTGTAATAATATTATCTATATTATTAATTCGGTAGATATTATAATATTTAGTTGGAAAGGAACTAGCATTACTCGTGTGTCACGTGAATTTTTCTACACTCTTGAATATTTTACATTTTCCTTTATTAGCGAAATGATTGGTTTGCAATTTTTTATCGCGAGCGTGGACCCGCATTATCCATTGTTAAAAAACCCAGACTTGATCCATTGTCAAGTCAATAGTCACACTTTATCGTTCTCTCTTTTCCGCGATTGGTTTTATTTTACATGTGAAAAGTTTTTGTGTGTTGTCTTTGAAAGATAAAAATAATAAATTTTGCAACACAGACTGGAAAAACCAATAAACAATCAATTTCGTTCTTTGTGATAAGATCGACATTCTATATTAATGGATAAAATTATTCAACTATTAATTATTAATACTTTTATTATTAAAACGTGTAATCTGAGCGATGACAACTACTTACAATATGTGTTGTACGCATTGAAACAAATATGAGATGAACGTGATTATAATCTTTTTCTTTTAGTTCAATCAACTAATAAAATTACATCATATTACGCTACTAAGCCCCTTGCTCAAGTCCAATTATCAAAATAAACGATCATTTGCAATGACAGTTTCTCACGATTCGACTTTTACATACAGCGAGAGGATTTATCAGCATCGCGGGAAAGAAGCAATAACGAAATTCGACTCGATTTTACATATTCTTTTTACAAGTGGGAATATTTTCTTAATTATTAAATGAAATATCTACGTAAGCTTGGAATTAAAATTTTATTGAGAAACGACACACTTAAGAAATAGATAAAAAGAATAAAATTTTGCTGTTTATCTATACTTGCAACTTTTTTCAATAAAACTCATAAAGATTGGTACATTTACTTTTGTTAGCTCAAGAATTATCAATGTTTCGGTAAGCATTTTCTCGTCAACATCTGATTTAAAGAGGCAATATATCTTGCGTGCGGAAACAGAGACAATGTTTAAGATTTAAAAAAAGAACTATAAATGTTATCAAACTTTTCGGTTTTATCAAGTTATAAAAGTAATTATTTTTATTGTTTTATACATAAAACGTTATGTATATAACGTTGACGCATTGCGAAAGAAGTTTATCTTGCACACGAAAGTGATAGCAGTCCTTATCTGAAACAGAAAATTCGTATGACATTTTAATCCTTAGATATTAATTTGCCTGGAGTAGAAAATAAAATTATTGAAAAAAATTATACATTTACAAATTGATGACCTTAAAATTTAAAATTTTACATGCAACATAGATTGTTACCTTAAATAAATATACTCCTCATATATACATATATATGTATACATATACATATACATATATTATACAGCGTTTTATACACCAATTACGGATCAGGCCGTATGTATATTTCTGTACATACGGAAATTTTGTTTATTACATTAGATCCCTTTCATGATCTTTCCGCCATCCTTACAAACTTGTTCGAAAGCAGCTAACTTACGCGATAAAATTAGAAACTATATAGTTCGCCACAGGTTTCGTTTCTCCTTGATCGTTTTTCCTTCTTTCGAGTTACGACCGATGATACTGGTGTGCCGATGTTATCACGCTAATTATAGAAATACATGCCAAGCCATTAGTCGCTGTAATAAGAGCGAGTTCGGTTAGGTTCAAGTTGCGTGCGATGACCGTGAATGCTGATTATTAATTCCGTGGTTTAATGCCTTCACGCATGAGCGTGCGTAAACGGAACCCGCTTATCCCGCGACTTTAACGTCCTGCTTTTATTAAGAGTTAGTCACGGCCGATTTTTCGTTCGACGTCGTACCTCGATTTGAGAACACAACGCGATGATGTAAATTCAACACTTTGTTTCGTAAATCAGAGCTATCGTGCAACTACATTTTTTGTCAATAGTATTTAGCCGTTTATTGATTACATTATGTACAGTTGCTATAAATTTTATAACATGAGAATATATTTGGATATTTTATCAAGGGTAATCTTAGTTGAAAGCAAAACAGCTGGTGTATTTTATACATTAATATTAAAATATAAATATATTTTTTTATTAAACCGTATAACGTAAGCTAACATAATACCAATATATAGGGTGTTGACTAAGTAAGTACAAAAAAATCTTGTCATTGTCGTCGGAGTAAATCTGCAACTTTGTTTTTTGCCAATGGAACAACGCAGTTTTGCACCAACGTCGCGTACGAACGGCACGATTTTCCGCGTTGAGCAACAGGTTTTTTTTCTTTGCGCCGTTATTTTTGCCTTTGGTAGATTTGCCATTTTGCCATCACTGTATGCGCCCCTTTGCTGGGCCTAAAAATGTTTCATCAAAAATCAGTTCTGGTACTGGGAAAATAATTCTTAATATCACGTATCAAATGTACACGTACCAAATTTTAATAAAATATCTCAAGTTTTCCAGATTTTTGAAATTTTCATTTTTTTTCCACAACTTTGACACCCTGTATTTTGAAGCGGTTTAGGGCATATGTTTATAGAACCTTTTCTTCATAAATCAAGTCACGGAATAGTCCCGTTCAATTTTCCTGTACGTATACTTGGGAAACGGTCTATATATGTATATCTGTAATCACAGTAGTAAACAAGTCAATACCTGCAGAACTATGTAGCAAGTACATCACAGCTGGTAAAGGAAAAGTTACTTTAATCATGTTCGAAAAAGTTGTTCGATTAAATTGTCCGCATTAATCCGATTAGCAATGCAAATCGTCAATCCTCGATCACCTAACCACCACGTTTCGACCACAAAAATCGTGGCACATAATCTTCGCCATTTTGCGCTTACATAATCGTATATAGCTGTTTCGTCGCGATCAAGTCCGCGATATCTGGTGAGGAACGAAATCGAAAGTGGTCCCGTGTCGAAAAATGAACAGAGACGGAGAAACGCGCGGATAAACGCGAGATCAACTCTGATACAATCGCGAAGGACAGTCGTGTTCATGCTAATGAATGTTTTTCGCTCTGCATCGATGCTAATCGTCGCTATATGCATGTTACGCGTGCGTACGATATTGCGTATACTTTTTATCAAGTCGTTTGGCCAAGCCACACCCGTGCGGAATCAGGGACGATCCTCGAGTCCGATATTTCCAGCCGGTCACCCGAATTCCGCGAATCGCGAATCCGGTCGCATTCCGGGAAAGAGAGAAAAAGATGTTTAATTTTGAGCTTACGTGTCCTGACAGTTAATGTTCTTCACAGTTAATGTTTTATTTTCATCCCTATAATTATCCCTTTTTTAATCGTTATAATTATTTTTTTGAAACTAATTACTTTTTTATTTCTTCACTTTTTTCCCCTTTCCATTATTCGTACTTCTTATCGCAACGAAAACATTTGCTACGTTTATGTAAACAAGTCTATAAGATATAGTCTCACTTTTCACGATAATTTAATTTGAAAGGATACAATACGTCAACAATTATGCAATTTTTAAATACAGAATAAATAAATAAACGACATTTTTCTACGTATACGAGTTTAAAGCTTTTTAAATAGAATATAATAGATATGGAAATAATTATATACACATATTACATGTAATCGGAGCAGCTTTAATTTTATACATGAAATAATTTTATTTTTTACGATAGGATTAAAAGATCCAATTAATTTTGTTGAGAATTCTTTGGTTTATTTATATGTATATGGCGCGAAAATATTGCCGCCACGACCCAGATATTATTTACAATCGCGTTCGCAGACAATGTACGCAGCCGGCGTTTTTTAATTTATCGCGACGTCGGGATCACGAAGAGATTTCTCGGCGTAATTGCGTTCGCGCTCGGCTTTAGTCACTCGCGTTACTTAATTGACTTTTTTTTATCAGCTTTAATCGGATTGCACAATGTCGCGTTCTCTGCCACGCGGATCACGGATCTGGCGCGTGTACGCACACACGCACTCACGCATCTACAAAATTTGCATAAAGAATATCATGTTCCACGGCCGGAATAATCGGGCCCACGGCCCGCATAATCCCGGCGACTTTCTGACGGCCATCGTGCCGATTCGCTTTGTAACAGCTTCGATATATGTATAAAACCGAGTTTTTCGATTGGGCTCGCGCGCGTTTGCGACGCGGATACATTTCTCACTTTAAACACGTCCAATCAATTTTCTGAACGGCGGACATTCATTCTCGCGACGTCGTCATCTCGACGCACAAGATAAAGGTTGTTGTAATTTTATCCTCTCGATACATGTTGCTTATGAGGAAAGAAATCTTCAAGTTTCATAAGAATAGTTTTTACCTTGCTGTAGATGTACGTGAAATTTTCAATAATTGTTTACTCGTTGCAATCTAAAATATTCTTGATTATAAATAATAGCTGTGAAAAAATTAATGTATCTATATATTGTTTCCCTAATATACCGACTAGACTTTTTTGTATTTATAATGCCCGTTAATTAGTCAAGTCACTCTTTCTGCGAGTACGCAGATGTAAAAGATACTAAAAGCAAATGAGGAATGAGAAAACGTATTAACAAGATTTTTTTGTAACAAGACACCAAAGTCCGTGTAGGTATCTTATTCCTGCTTATTATCGC